AGAAGAAGAAGAAGAAGAAGAAGAAGAAGAAGAAGAAGAAGAAGAAGCTGCAGACTCTTCATGGAATTTCATATGAAATCTGGTTTCTAAACATGATGATTCCAATTATTTAATACATGATGATTTGGATTCAATCCCTTCTCCATTGTTCAGTTGGGCATTTGCACTATTGGGAGGCAACAAAATATTAACCCACCATGTATGGACAGACCTTTTGCTGCTGAAAGAGAATCCTATTGCAAACAGACGACCAGAAAAACAATAGCGTAAAGTGTCCTAGTCAATAACAGCCAAAATCAATGACTTGTATGACCAAAACATGTGCATAAGATTTCCCTGGCAGGTGGATGCAATATTAGTAGTAAGATATATAAACAAGAAAAGTAAATAATCCCAGTATTAAAGTTCATGCATTTTACTCTAGGGCCATCAATGCTAGAGGGACTTCATTAAAAAAAATATCTCTTACAGCAGGACAAATCCCAGTTCAAAAATGTATACTGTTCTGCAATCATTTTAAACGAAGGACACTGCTTTAAATGTCAGGTTAAAGGATACATTCTCTATCAATCCTTAAACCATCTCCAGACAATATTGGAAGTCTCTGGGGTAACTGTTACCGTGTTTCTCATATAATAAGGCCGGGTCTTATCTTTTTTTGAGCCCCGAAAAAATGGCTAGGCTGTCTTTTCGGGGGGTGACTTAATTCCCCCCCTTGCATCTTCGGGCGGGCGGGCAGCGACGGCTTAGATGTTGACCTCGGCGTTGGTGGGGCACTTCGTATGGGGGTCAACACAGGCAGCACCATATCCGGGTGTGCAACAGAAGTGCTTCCTAACGGCAAGACCCCCCCCACCATTCCCCCCCATTTTGCATGTTTTAATATAGGCCTTAATTTGGGGGGAGGGGCTTAATTTCATTTCATGCCTATAAAACATGCTGGGACTTCCTATTGGGGGAGGCCGTATTGTTGGAGAAACAAGGTAGATTTGGATAAATAGGGTAAATTAATAGAAATCATTTGTTGATCAGTTCTATCTAATGAGATAGGAACTCCCTTTTGGTGTAGATGTTCAAACGTTGACTCTTAACAATTTGTTGTCCTCCACTTATGGCCTTTCAGTGATGGTAAATTTAAACATAATTCAGAAAGGTAATGGCTGCAAGGCATCTGATTGGAGAAGGCAGCTGGACCTTAAGAAAGCAATTGTACCTATATTCCAGAAATAGTTGGTTATAACTTATAACAATACTGTTACTGGTGTGGTGTTTTACCATATCAATCGACTCCCATTCCTTTCTTTTTCCTTACAAAGTCTTTACTATTTAGACAGTTCTGTAAGAGGAAATTGCAAATACCCATCAAAGCCATCAGGTGTGGATGGACCATGCTGTCCTCAAATACCAGGACCAGAAGCAAAGAACTCCCCCCCCAGCAATCCCCAACGAATCTCAACATTTCTTAAAAATAAGCAAAACTGTGTTTCTTTTGGATACTTGGCAATAAATTCAAGATCTATGAGTATAATAGAACTAAACAAGTATATACTATGAGCTCAGTTTAGTACCTTATTAGCCCCAGATACTAGACAGAACAATAAGCCAGTTTGATCTAGTGGTTAAAATGCTGCCCTAGAAACCAGGAAACGATGAGTTCTAGTCCGACCTTAGGCATGAAAATTGGCTTGCTGGCTTTGGGCCAGTCATTCTTTCTCAGCCCACTAACCTCATAACATTGCTGTTGTGCAGAAAATAGGAAGAAGTAGAAGTATGGAATAAGTTTACTGCCTTGAGTTGTTTATAAAAATAATAATAAAGGTGGCAAATACATAAATAATAAAAAAGAGCACTGTGATGAAAATGCTTGGGGATGAACAGTATTCTGGTATAAAAACACTACTTGTCAATTCAAATATGAACTGCTCAGATTGTATGGATAAATACAGTATATGAGAGTGGTTATAAGGGCTTTGTGTGATCAGATCTACTGATCACACAAAGTCTTTATAAGCAGAACACTGACACAGACATCTCCTAAATTCTGCCGAAGATGTTATCTAGCCTGGTAATGAAACATTCGGAAACCAACCCACAAGCTCAGAGAACAAGCCTTCACTCTCATCCTATACCAGAGCTACAGATATTCACCACTATCGCAAAAATACAATATATCTTTGCCCTTTGATTCTTTGCTCCATAACCAAAAATATGCAGTATTTTGTTCAGTGACTAAACCCGTGGTTGCCATGGCATAGAGCACTGTTCAACTTCTATCCTGCCCAAAGAAGATTTGCATCTACGGTGGAGCACCTGATTCTCCAATGTCAATCAAACTAACTTAATCAGGAAGGATTATTTAAAGATGTTGGGGCTAAGACATGAAGTCTTAGCCAGAAAGCTTCCCTGGGGACATCGACAGATAACTGTAATTTGGTCTTGATTATTTTGAAATTGGGTTTTGAGCTTCAAAAACAACTTTTATTCAAAGCATTACATTAAGGAGACTCTGTAGTTAAGTTAAAACCAGTTAGTGGTCTAGAATCCTCTTTTTATTTATATATTTATAAATATATAAATATATTTATATATATTGGTTTGGGTTTATTATTATTTTTTCCTAATCAAGCCATTAAAAGGCTAAATGAGATAACAAAGGCGGAAAGAGAAGAATCCCATTTTCTGTCTATCAATCTTCATTTGTTTTGTCTAGAAGAGATGATGGAAATATATGCAGTCAAATGTTTACTTGTGTTTGGACTCTCCTGAGCAACATATTGTACATGCGCAGATTCAATATTTTGCATGGTTTAAAAAAAAAGTTCTTCAGACTC